ACAGCACCATAGGCAAACATGATAAATGGGGGAGGTTTGTTTTTTTTTTTTTTTTTTTTTAATTAAGAGAATTTTCTCAAGATCCAGCAATAACACTTCTAGGTATATATCCCATTTGCTCAACCATGTTCATAGCAGCTTTATTTGTAATAGCCAGTATCTGGACATAACCCAGATGTCCCTCAATTAAGGAATGAATACAGAAATTGTGTTACATTTACACAATGGGATACTATGCAGCAATTAAAAACAAGGAAATCATGAAGTTTGCAGGCAAATGGTGGGAACTAAAAAAGATCATCCTGAGTGAGGTGTCGCAGAAGCAGGAGACACACATTGTATATATATATACTTATAGGTGAATATATAACATAGGATAATCATCCTAATATCTGTACACTTAAAGAAGCTAAGCAAGAAGGAGGATCCTGGGTAAGATGATCAATTCTCATTCAGAAAGGCAAATAGGATGGACATCGGAAGAGGGAAAAACCAGGGAACAGGACAAGAGCCTACCACCGAGGGCCTCTGAAAGACTCTACCCAGCAGGGTATCAGAGCAGATGCTGAGACTCATAGCCAAACTTTGGGCAGAGTGCAGGGAATCTTATGAAAGAAGGGGGAGATAGAAAGACCAAGTGGGGACAGGAGCTCCACAAGGAGAGCAACAGAACCAAAAAATCTGGCCCAGGGGTCTTTTCTGAGACTGATACTCCAACCAAAGACCATGCACAGAGATATCCTAGAACTCCTGCACAGATGTAGCCTATGGAAGCTCAGTCTCCAAGTGTGTTCCCTAGTAAGGGGAGCAGGGGCTGTCTCTAACATGAACTCAATGGCTGGCTCTTTGATCACCTCCCCCTGAGAGGGGAACAGCCTTATCATTCTACAGAGGAAGACAGTGCAGCCAGTCCTGATGAGACTTGATAGGCTAGGGTCAGATGGAAGGGGAGGAGGACCTTCCCTATCAGTGGACTGGCAGAGGAGCATGTGAGGTGAAGGAGAGAGGGCAGGATTAGGAGGGGATGAGGGAAGGGGCTACAGCTGGGATACAAAGTGAATAAATTATAATAAATAAAGAATAAATTAAAAAATCAAAGCCTATAGTAAAGGATTTGCAATCATTAAATGCAGATAATAAAAAAGAGAGAATTTTCAAACCCTCCTGTGATAGTAATTTACTTTTAGCATTTGTCAACTGAGGAAACTGAAAGACCAAAACATTGGTGTAAATTAAGAAATGATTTTTTTTTTTTTTTTAGCAGAATTTCCCTTTTCGTTGTGGAATTCTCTTTTTTTGTTGTTGGTGGGTTTTTTTGGAAGCAAAATTGGGATTTATTTAAAAATAGAGAAGAAAAACAAAGGAAGAACAAGACACACAGAGAGCATCGTTTGGCTGTCCCAAAGAACAGTCACACTTAACTGTTTCTAATGGTCATTTTTAGGACTGATATGATTTTAAAATGTTTTCATTTTTATTAGCACATATTAATTATGGATAATTGTGGATTTCGTTGTGATCTTACATGCACATAATATGTTTCCATTATAAACTCTAACTAAAAGAAATTGAAGGGCTGGAGAAAAGGCTGAGTCAATAAAGTTCTTACCATGCGCTTATGAGGACCTGAGCTTGATCCCCAGCATCCAGGCATAAAAAGTGTGGCAATGTGTATTTATAATCCCAGTACTGAGCAGACTGAAACAGGAGGATCCCGGGGGCTTGCTGGCCAGCCAGTCTAGCCAAATTGGCAATCCTCAAATTCAGTGAGAGATCTCCCTCAATTAAAGTATAAAGTTATTGAAAGACACCCAGTGTTGATCTCTGGGCTACACACATGCATGCGCACACACACACACACACACACACACACACACACACACACACACATCTATGCAACATATACTAAACATGTATATACACAAACAAACAAACACACAGTACCACACACAAAGAGCTAGAACCTATATCACTACAAAAGTTCATGACCTTACTTGTGTGGCGTCTGTTCCTCCAACTCACTTGCCAGCCTGAGCTCCCCAGTCCTGATTGCCGCTCAGTTCTCAGTTGCTGATGTAAGCCATCTCCTTCTGCTTTCTGGTCCTGTTCCCAGAACCTAAGTGCGGTGCTCTGTATTCTACAAGTAAGCGTGGGGGTACAGGTGCTGTGGGGGTAGCACACGGAGAGAAGTCCCAGGGCCAGCCAGAGACAAGAAGTGGTAGGTCTGCTAGGGAATCAGATATTGTCATTCCCAAAGGTTTTTCATTTGTTTGTTTGTTTGTTTGTTTGATTGATTGATTGATTTTACCTCCCCCCCCCCCTGCCTCATTCGCTGGATCTGTACGTTAGTCAATATTCTGTCACTATGACAAAAGGGCCTAAGATAATCAAGTGAATAAGAGAAAAGGTTTGTTTTGGTTTGCAGTTTTGGGGTCTGCAGTGCATGGTCAGTTGGCTTGAGGCTTTTGGGCCCATGGCAAAGCAGAAAGCTATCCTGGTGGCAGCATTTGCTCATCTCAAGGTGGCTGGGAAACAAAACTAGGAAGAAGAGCACCTGGTCTTGTGCTTGTTGGATTGAAAAATGTCTCCCGTACGTATGCTCACATATTTGAATACCTGGTCCCTGGTTGTGACACTGTTTGGGGATCTTCTAGAAGGTGGAGTCTTTTTAAAGAAACTATGTCACTGGATGGGGGCTTTCATAGTATGTAGTCTTGTCCCAGTTCCAGTTTGCTCTTCATTTCTTGTATATGGATAAAGACGTGATCTCTCAGCTTCCTGTTCCAACAGCCCTTCTCCCATGTCTCCCCACCATTATGGACTCTCCCTCTGGAGCTAGGAGCCAAAATAAAGTCTTTCCTAAGTCTCTTTTGGCCATGGATTCTTATCAAAGCAACAAAAACAACTAATACAGATCCAAATAGCTACTTCCAGGGCACTCCCCAATCACCTAACTTTCTTCTCTGCCTGATATCCTGAAAGTTCCACCAGGTTCTAATAGTGACACGGGATGGAAACCAACATGGGTCTTTAATGCATGGGTCTCTAAAGAACATTTGAGATCCAATGCACAGCAGTCCAATTTCAGCCTTCTGATGCAAACTGGGTGAATTGTTCTCAGTCCTCGTCTCAGAGTCTCCAGTTATCAACTAAGGGTATCCTTGCTGTTTCAGTAAGGCAGTTCCCTTTGTCCTCCCCTCTTCTATTCTGATCTGTGCTGACACATTCTTTCTTCACAGAAAGTATTATTAGTGTTTTCTAAGCAAAAGGATTATCTAGCAAATCCTCCATGCTTAAGGGAAGAGAAGCTGAGAAATTAGGTTTTTTTCAAGATGCCTGAAACAGAAAAATAAAAGTCTTACCAAAACAAGTGTTTTGCATTTCTACCAACCTCACTTTTTTATTATAGAAAAAAAATGTTTTTAAAATATCATAAGCGTAGATTATATTTGGGAATACTGATAGAAATCAGATCATAGGAAATATTGGAAGACCTAATAGCTAATGCTCAATTTTTATTAAAAGCATGTAAGAAGCATAATTAATAGATAATAAAGGTAGAAAAATACAGTGGAGGCCAAGAGTCCAGCGAGGTGGCTATTGCAGTAACAGGTTAAGAAGTAGAGAAGAGGAGAGAAAAAGGGGAAAGAGGGGAGGGGAGAGGAAAGGAGGGGAGAAGAGAGAAGAGAAGGGAAGGGAAGGGAAGAGAAGAGAAGAGAAGAGAAGAGAAGAGAAGAGAAGAGAAGAGA